TCTGGTTGTCGTCTCATGTTGAGACTCGCTGAAATCGTCAGCCAAGCGAAAATTGAACATTCAAACCTATAAGCCGTCTGCGTTTCTTGGACGTTCGAGGTCGGGACGACGGAAACGCCGAGCGGAACGGTCGATTGCATGAGCACCGACGGTTGCAGCTGGGGCAAATGCGGGATACCGATGGTGGAGGAGGCTGCTGCCGGCGCGGTTACCGATGGATAAAGAGACGCTGTCGGTGGCCAGCACATACTCGGATCTATCATCAGTCTGCTCGGTATAGGCCTGAGTATGTTTCCAGAGCCTGGCGTCGACGTCGATGTCAACGTGGACGTCGGTGCTACAGGGATCGGCGTCGGCAATGGCGGCGGTGCCCTCAGCCTGAGCAACGCAGCCCTGCATTGCTCCAGTGCCCCCGGCATGTGCAGCAAATGCGTGGCCAACAGCACGCTGTACACGTTGTCCAGTGTCACTTCCAATCTGCCCGTGTACATGTAGTTCAACAAAGGGGCGAACGCTTCTCCACCTAGAAATTACGAATTTTCCTTTTTTCTCTCTCTCTCTCTCTCTCTTTCATTTCAAACGAGAAACCGACAATCGCGATTAGCTTTTGCTTTGAATTCAGTAGAAATTGTTCTATAGAAGAATCTCCATTTTGAGAGTCACTTCTTCAGATTTTTGAATTCTCTTTTAAAGAAGAAACGCACACAATGCGATTTTGTTTGTTTTGGCAAGCATCGAATAAAGAATTAGGTATCTTCTCTCGTTTAGACTTACTTACTTACTTACTTCTTCAAATCTTTTTGGAAACCTCTGGCATTTAGTTTGATTTTTTTTTTCTTTTGTTTAAAATAAGAAATGTTCGTGCGCGCTCTCCCTGCTTGACAAGCATCGAATTGAAGAATTTAGGCACTCCCATTTGGAGACTTGCTTCTTCAGATTTTGGGAATCTTTGACTTTTATTTAAATACTTTTATTTCACGTCATTGCTTTATTTTCGAGAAATTATGTGGAAACGTTTCCTGCTTGACAAGCATCCGATGTCGAAAAAATTCATCAATAGAAAATTACTCAAAATTCTCAAAAGTTTGGGAACTTCGGAGAAGCACTCAATGTGTTCACAACCTAATTTTGATATTTTGGTTAAAAAATTGTAAACGGAAACTTAAAAACTCTTCGTACGAAATTCGAGAAAGAAAAGAAAAAAATTAGAAACTTGCTCTTCTTCGGATTTTCTAAGTCCCCTTTGTTCAGTTTTTATTTGAAACGAAAAAACACAAAACGATCTCCATCGTTTGTCGATACTTTCAGCAGCTCTGTATGAAAGCCAAAAGCACCCTCTGTGACGACGATCTGCACTCGATACGAAAAACTCGACAAAGGATTGCTCGTTTCTTCAAAGTTTACTCTCCTCTACTCTCTTAACTTTAGCCGTTTCGTTGTTCCAAAGTGTCGTGCTTTTAAGAATTTCAAAAATCGTCGATAGACGAACCACTGCACAGTTTCGGATAATTTCATCATATCATATCATATCATTTCGAACCTTCGAACTTCAGAATAAATTTTCTACAATATTTACCAATGGACGAAACCGAGACAGACGTGACAGGTTGCCGCGTTGATTGCCCCGAGAAATTGGTAGTGGTTACCGCGATGGCAGCTGCCGGCATGTTAGCGCAAGACGCGATACTCGCGTTAACGCCGGCTTGATTAGAAGGTGTTGCCGCCGCGCTAGTTAGCAGAGCTTTCAGGTAGCCGCTGTGAGCAGCTAGGACACCCTTGTGAGCGACAAACTGGTGCTCTCCTTCGTTCCCGACTCGGACCACCGTGTCTGGCGGCGACAACGTCTCTTGAAGTCGCGAATAATTGTCTGGCGTAACGCTGTCACCGAACCAAGCTCTGTACAAGCTATACATATCGCACGATCTCAGCTGTGTACCAATTTACCTACGATCTAGCAATCGACGCGTGTGCACATCGTGTCGTACGAGCCGATGAAAGTAAGTTACACTCGTGGCTTTTCGTCCTTTTCGAAAAAATATACTCAACCAGTCGCAGTTGATTCTTTAGATCTTCTCGAGTTAGTCACGTTCTTCCTCGCCGTTTATGTCGATCTTATGTTAGTTAACCGATCATAATAACCTTCGAAGAATCAACTTCCATCGAAACTTCGTACTACGAAGCACAATTTTCAATTCGGTCTTCGATCGTTCCTTTTCGATTCCCACGATTTTAATCCGTTCGATGGAAATTCATTTTCACCCCTTCGTTCGTTTCCTTAGTTCGTTCCCTTCTCCCAATGAATTCTTCGGATTCTTCAAATCAATTGCAAACGCCAGCTTCTTTCAACTATCACTGTCCATCCCAGCGAAACTTCTCGTTGAAGTGATCGAGCAAGCACCTCCTCCCCCCCCCCTTCCACCTCCCCTTCGATCGTGTTACTCGAGATTTCGAAAATCTCTGGTACTACGGAGCCGCGACGATAAAATAAGGAGGATGTTGTATGTAGACGGATCGGGTGAGAACCAGCGTGTGCCGCGATTGCCCGTGATTTGAACGCCAGGAGTCGGTTTCGCCAGCAGTCGGAGTCGCACCACGCCACCACCGTTGCCGTTCGCTCGTAGATTCCGGCTGCTTTTTCGACGAGGTGTTCTACCGCCCTTCGCGCTTCCTCCTCCAGACGGCTGCTATCAGCCAGTCCCTGTGCAGCTCACCCCAACCCCCGGCCAGTGGAGAACCGCCCCCGACGAGTCGAGATTGGCGGTGTTGGCTCGATTACTGGCAGGGTTGCACGTGCGCCTGGTGTGTGTTTACCGTGTCGAGGATTGTAGCTTCTTTCCTTGTTTCCCTTCCCCTGCCGTTACCACTCTTCCGGCCCCGTTTACCTTCCGCTTCCTCCTCTCTCTTCTTCCGTTTCTTCTCCGTTTTTCCGCCTCTCGGCACGACCAAACCTCCTGTTTCTTCCTCCCTAAAACCTGCATTTTGGCACTGTGTCCCTCCTCCCCCCCTCCTCCTTTTCCTCTCTTCTGCCTCTTCTTTTTAGACGGTTGTTTCTTCCTCCCTTCCTAAAACCTGCATTTTGGCACTGTGTCCCTTTTTCCTCCCTCTCTTTTGTCTCATCTTTTTAGACGGTTGTTTCTTCCTTTCTCCCTAAAACCTGGATTTTGGTACCGTGTCCCTTTTTCCTCCCTCTCTTTTGTCTCATCTTTTTAGACGGTTGTTTCTTCCTTTCTCCCTAAAACCTGCATTTTGGCACCGTGTCCCTTTTTCCTCCCTTTCTTCTGTCTCATCTTTT